ATTGCGAATCACAAGCCAACCATGTCTTTTTGTGCATTATATACGCTCATCTTTTGTCTCGCAGATTGTCTGTCCTTTAGCAAAAATCACCTTTTACCATCAACAACCGAACAAGATACAGTGTATGGTGACCAGGGTGTGCTGGTTTGTCTCTGCTAAGATTGAGAGACGGCTGATGCGATTATCACTGACACGGTTTGAGCACGGCTGCAATAACGGCTTGGAACGCTGGCCGATCGAACGGATTTGCGGTGACGTGATGACATTAGCTTAGCCCGGGGTACGCGCTGGGGAGACAGAAATCGCGCTAGCGTGAGAATCGTCCTAGCTACACGTATTCGGGTAGACGCTGAGCCCTCGTAACGGACGAGGCTACGCACACGAGAAGGGATGACGGTAGACGCGCGCTACTGGCTTGGACGCGAACGCTGCCTAGCTATCGACGCACACAAAAACCACTTGACCGAGTCGACTCCCAACTAACGGCGAAGAGGAAGAAAGGCAAATGGTCCTCTGAAGGCTTTTTTACGACCAACAATGGGCGAATCACATCCAATACTATGTGTCATTACGTTAATGAAAATAGCTACCGCAACGGGGTGGTAGTTTGTAAAAGAACCTTGTCAACATGTGCGCAGTTGTGCCGCGTTTCGGTGTGGCTGAAACCTGCTACGTTGTGGGGAGGACTTGAACTCTGCTTTCCACAGGCATTACACCGGAGTTTGTGGCGCGTTTTGCGGGGATATTTGACGGGCCCGCAATAGTCTCATTCCATGCTGTTTGTTTGCTCGCCACGTAAAAACCATTATATATTTCATGAGGCGGCTGATATAGACCACTTCCAAACTATCACTTTACATATAGTTCTTTCTGCTTCCAGACAGGGACAGCAGTAGCCTAGATGAGATCCGAAGTGTTATCCTCACGTGGATTACATAGTGAAGATAGTAAGCGTGAATATGAGGCCTAGTTATATAAATCAGCTTTAACTTACGAAGACTGCATCTGGTGCTGAAATTTCATCAGTCTTCGAGCAGTTCAGTCAACAACTACTGGATGACTTAGTGCGAGATTTTGGGTCCTCCAATAGTGTGGCTGAGTTATTGGCCACCAGATTACATAAAAAACCTACTTAACTACACAAAAAGTGTTTTTTTTTCTTCCGAAAATGCGCTGAGAGTTTTCTGGTCTTCTCCAGAATACAAGCAGTTTTTACGATGATATTCCAGATCTTTTATTGCAGTTTGGGATTGCTTCGTATGATGCACGAGAAATTATTTTTAACTTTTCAACGCAGAGTCCTTTATGTATTCCATTACATAATGGCTATGTATATTGAGAAGTACCACTGGGTTAATAACAAAATTCTAATGTGTCAGCTGTACGCCGTAACAGCGCTTCGCTGCCGTGCGACCACCACCAGTCGCACGCGGGATGAGTATACCGCGAGAACACCCATCCCTATGCAGAATCGAATCCGCACCACAAGCTCGTTACCTCTAGACTACGGGGTACTCAGTGCGTTTAAGGAACACGAGAGCAAATTACTCCATTGGGATTTGATAACTAACTTGTTTGTTCTTAGCTCTATGTTGGGTCATACTCTATCCTCTTGCGTTTACATCGCAGTTCCGAAAAGCGACTTTGGCAAAATATTCATAGATTCCAGATTTATTTCTTATTGCTAACCGTTTCTGTTTATCACTTACAGATTTAACACCAACTTTTGCCCATTATTTTATTGCTTTACATTAACTGCGTTTTCATATCACCTACGTTTGAGCGATAGTTGTGGATTTACTTCTGCAACTTCCTCGCGATCTGTTTCACTTATTCGCAATTCTATTGTACTACATCGTCCGTAATTTCTTTGGTAGAACCACGGTTTCATTCATATATAACGCACACCGCCCTAAATGTTTCTGGCCAGACTGTACTTTTGTCTTGTGGATCGGCTTGCTATCAGTTTCTGTCGCTGTAACACTAGTTGTTTAGTGAATTGGCTTGCTATATGCCTCTGCCGCCATTATATAATAGGAATATAAAAAATTGTTATTGATACCAAATACGAACACAACTGGATCATTTGTGCTAATTTGATGATGGCGCGCTTCCTTCTTGATCAAGAGACAGGCAACACAAAGTTCCCATGTTATCCCTACATGTGTGATAGTCGATCTCATGAGATACACTGGACACAGCAAACGTGATCAAGAGGTGAAACTCTGGAGCCTAAAACGTCCAAACGTTGCGAATGATTCAATTGTCAGCGGAGAGATGATAGTTTCTCCACTGCGTTTGAAACTTGGTTTTATGAAATCATTTGTGAGAGCTTTGAATACTGATGGCGAATATTTTTAGTGCATTGTATCTGCTTTTCTGTCGTTGTTTTTGTTGAAGCTTAAAGCTGGTGTTTTGAAGGTCTTCAAATTCGAGCTCTGCTGCGTGATGGAGAATCTGTTTCAAAGGTGAATGCCAATGAGAATAATGCGTGCCAGTCATCTGTGGCAATTACAAAAAACTTTCTTGGGAACAAAAGATAATTATGAGGGTCATGTTGACAGAATGTTGTTGTCATTTCGCAATCTGGGTGCAGCACGAGCGTCAGGCTGCAGTTCGTGAACAGTCATCCTAACTAATTCCCCATAAATCTTGGATAATAAGTGACGAACAAGTACAACATTTTCATCAAGGTTTGATGACGATGGAACTGCGATATCAAGAGCGATGGGGCAAACACCTGGTAGCTGATTATTGTTAAAGCATCAAATGTGAAAGCCCTAAGCGAATATTAATACGCTAGAGCTATAAACGCCCATTTTTGCCTGGTTAATACTTGTTATGCATGTGGCTAAGTATTTGTGTCGAGCTTGACAAAAATCTTGTGCTAAGGACGTATGTTTCAATCAGTTATGGATTTACGAAACGTCGGGTCATATACCATCATTGCGAACACTATTTCAAAAGTCTTTTCAAAAAAATTTATAGCTTACATAGTGAAACCATCGTCCGATTTGAAGTCGGCATGCTCAAATTATGTAAGGACGGATGTTAGTTTCTTTACAACAAACTTTGTGTTGCCCCATGTTATCTGCAACACTTTACTGTTCAATCGGAAGCGTATTCTAAGATTACCGTCGCTCCTCATGGCTCTGCGGAGACACACTGATCGATCTCACCTGGTTGTTATTCATAGTGTCAACGGAGCCGGAGGTTTAATCCTCTTGACAGGTCAACGTGGTGGTGGCTTTGTTCTGTGACAACAGAGTAGACTAATTACAGTGAATTATTATATTTCGTGCTTTTCAGTTGATGCGCTTGCTGTCATGGCCACAGAAGCAGTAATCAACTATTTGAGATGTCAACTTGCCTGACACCGAATACCGGAACAATTGGTCTCCGACACTGAGTTTCAGGTTTCTCCAATCAAGTGGGGTTTTGTGTATCAACTAACTAACCTATCTCATCCAGCGAAGCGGAAAAGCTGAATCTCAAACGAACCAAGTCATGAGGCTGTTTCAAAGTCTAGGGCCACTCCTAAGGACCCGTGCTCTAAGATTTTGGGAATCACAACACCACCATCGGATATCGGTCTAAACCTAGCGTATGGTGTATATAACGCCCCGTTTCGCCATAACATGAGATACTGCAAAACAGTTAAAGTAAACGAATTCCCACTCAGAAACGGCACTAAGATCGCGATGTCCGGGCAATAGTTCAGCTTCCATTGGGGAAGAAAGAATGGATTAAACTAAAACATGGGGCTCACGAGAGAAAGAAAAGGTGTAGTAATCGCGAACGTAGGTACAGCGTCGCATGCAATCAGTGTTGCAGGGAGGCTAATCAGAGTAGACGGAGAACAACTGAGGTGACATGGTAGACCTTGAGCGGGATCCTGTAACACGTGGCGACGAGAGCACAGGGGTATTTAAAGCCGAGACAACGCAAAGCGGTAGAGTGCGCAGAGTACTCTGCAAGGTAGACGCGGAACGGTATGAAAAGTTGAAGATGGGATAAGTTTGTCCGATGAGAATGAACGGTTAGATCCAGCGAACTAAAGAGGCACCCAGTGGAATGCAGATCTCGTGGCCTCATTCGTTGTAGCAAGGGTAGTTGTTCAACTACTTAACTGTGTTGTCAGACTGGCGTTTAGATGCACTATGGCGAGCTCCATGTTGCTTTTATAGCAACGTTACAGGAGGAACCTTATCTGTCCAACAAATCACTTTTAATGCACTTTATATATATATATATATATATATATATATATATATATATCAAGGCGTCGTAGTGGTCAAACATAATACCTCTTCACTTTTTTGGCTTTGTATAATAGGCTGCTTGTTTCTGAAGAATCAACTTTTCGATAGTGTATACGATTTCTTTAGTTACAAAGCAGACCGAAGCAGTCTTCTTGTACTGTGCACACTCAGCGCTTTGGAAATGATCCATACATCGGAATTCGACGACTCGAGCTGCGATCCGATTAACTCCACTTGCAACCGTTTCTGTCACATGCTCGTCAATACCGAGTGAACCAGTCATCCCCATGTTTCAATCGTGTATTGTATCATTGGCCTACAAAGTACTTGTTTTATCCCTCACCGATGGCACGGTTGGTTGTCATCTGAATTTTGTAATACTTCGTGGGTGTAGGACTAAGCAATCCGAAAATACCCCATTTCTTCTAAATGCCACGCACAACACCTAGTGGTGCCGTGGACCGTGCGAGAAGTACTTCGACCTACTAATCTAATCGTGACCAAAGACAACTGTGTCTTGACACAACTTGAAAGGAGATATTTGATCTCCATGTTTCAGTTATTCTTTGTGGGTAGATTGATAAGTGCTTTCGGAGCATGAAGCCGCACGATCACGGTTATCTTTTGTTCACTTGATCACCAGGATGCATGATTCGCTTACACTGAAATCTCTTACAAACTCCTGTTCGGCTGATTAAAGTGACCGCCGATTGGTTTTGTGAAGGGAAAACTCCTTCGGACAAGAGATATAGTTTTTTGGGAATAAGTGTGAGGCACATGAGAGTGTTGAGCTGTGTGGTACTAGTAACTTCGGAAAGACAATCAAATGTACGGAATGAAGTTCATATACACTTTACAAAGCTTGTTCACTGCGAAAGGTAAACAATAAATGAAGAAGATCACTTGGAGCTCCGATATTGATAATACTTTGTAGCCCACTCCACGTAAGGCATAGCGAATTGAAAGTGCAGTTGTTGTCTCGCCTTCCGTAGGATGGAGTCTTTGTAGTAAAACCTGCAGACGAGAAAGTAACGAGATATGGGGTTAGAATTTTCTGTGTTTCTTCGTGGGTGAAATGTCTGTTGTGACCAACAAGTTTGCAGTCCGTGGACGTGAGTACTAACAAAGCTCTTAAGCTTTATCATCCCACGCACGACGGATATGACGTATCTAGACATTATGCCCAGGAACACGTATCTACAAACTATTTGAGATGAATTTTCACTCTTAACAATCACACCAAAAATCTGCATCGTTATTCTTCTATGGGTGTGTCTATGTTATCACCATCTCATCCCATCTGTTTTTTCTGGTTATTCTCTCGACTTTGGTGCAATGCGCTCTCAAATTTACTGCCGTTTTGTGCCTGATGGAGAGATCAGTTTCAGTTAATTAGGCAATATAACTAGGTCACCAGAGGGCGCGTCAAGTTGACTGGAAACCGTTGCGCTCATTCTTGGTGAAGCATTCAACGACGAGTTAAATGTGGGACGGCGCTACTACTCTCATTGATTTGGGGCGCACGTCGTTCATGACACCAAGTGTGATTGCCGTTGGTACGAGGCTGATGCCCCAGCTCTTTCACCGATCTTAGGTTCCGCACAATTTGTTTGACATCGCAGGAATACACTTCCCAATTAAAGACGCTGCAATCGATTGCGTTCAACGTGCACTATATTTGATTTACTGCATGGGTGAGTATAATCTTGGAATAGGCATTGAATGACAGTACTGATTTGTAGCATCATGATTATACACGTTGACTAGAGGTAGGAAACACCACAGCTATTGTGCCGCAATGCAAACCAATTAGATGGTGATAGGAGAGGATGAGAAAAGAAGAAAGTACCAACGGAAGCAAACGAAACGAGAAGTGATGCCATGTCAAAACTGAGATCGAGATTCAAGTGCGAGGCTATGGTAAAGAAGCTTACGACACAGGCGCCACTAAGGTTGCTTCTGTGCTCTGTCAACCATTCTGTCCAATCAAACCTTTTCATCTTCCTTAGGACCCCAAACCGGGAGTCAAGTGGCTCCAACCGAGGCCAATTTCAAACTGAAGTCATTTATTCTTCTTGACCAAGTCATCGACCGACCATCTTCTCTTTTCGCATCCATACCCCGTTCATCTAAACAGCGCACTTCGTGGAAGTCGATGTACTGGCATACACAACACGTAGCCCAGCCATTAAAGCTTGGTGTTTGACATAACGGTGCTGACGGGTTCACTTGCCTTTCCTGCGTCAAATACGAGACGCTGATCACGTTTTTCATAAAATCGTGATGCTTGGACGCCAGGGGCCGTTCGACTCCAGCAGCTGCAACACCTCCGTCAATACGGCCAGAGAATTTGACCACCTTGCTTGGGTCACAGCCCCTCGGAATCGGCTTCACTACTGGGCATTGCCAGCTACATGGACAGCAACTTGTTGACCAGATTAGTCACAGAAGTCAAAATGATGATCGATAGGGACTTGAGAATTAGTGGGTGAAGCCCTCAGGATCGGTTGGTCTCATGCCATCCAAACTGGCAGATGGATTGCGTACATCTTCCTCACCGCAATGTAAGCTCTCGAGTTCGTTTGGGGCCGTACAAGTCGATCTCGGTGCAGACGCACGGTCATTTGCAAATAAGGAAGCAAAGTGCGCTGAAAGTGCGGACATACGCTCAGTGTTGGAACTTATGATCTATCCTTCAAAACCCTCTAACACTACGTTACTTGTAGGTCTCAGGCGCCTCGTTATCTAATGGAGGATCTTGGGCGTAGTCTTCGCTGCGGCTACAAGCTGCTTTTCGAACTTCCAAAGCTCCTGGTCTTGAGATAATGGCTGTTCTGATAATCGACACGGCCGAAAAATATGAACCCAACTGACGTCACACAGTACTTGACAAGTTGTCAACTAGTTCACTCCCAAATATTGTGTTTCCATCACACTGGGGGATTTCATTCCATTCGTGCCAATTTAAGTGAGGTGGCAGCACATTGTGACCTGCCCGCTTTTCCTCTGTTCTGCATGCGGCACTATGCACACATTTATCTGCAAAATTGATCTGACAATGTGAGGACACTGACCGAAGCAACTCAGCAAGTGACTATACACCTTGTGTTTCAGAATTTCTCAGCAAATCCTTACCTCGAAGTCATAAAAGGGTTCGGGTATTCCAACCAGCCTGTAACATTTGCAGTCCCGGATCACCAAGACCATACCTCTCCCGAAAGTGGGCAAGTCAGGTATAATATACTTGTTTCGACTCACTCCCCATGGAGGACACCCAATGATTCATCCAAAATATCCGTGGTTCGTAGTCTACTCAGTGATAAAAAAGTGGCCTGGCACGCAGATGTTAACTCTTTGCTAGCGTTAGAAAGTGCACTCGCAACTTCATGTGGGCGCCAAGCCCAGATGTGCGGAACCAACGCATCACAACTGCCAGTATGGTTTACTAAAGCGGCAAAAGCGACTGACAAATTCCTTAGCTTTGAGCCTTAGTACATACACACGACCAGGATGATTTGCTTCCCTTGGGCTTAGATTCGGTATACTAGTGGTCAACCCATAATCTATTGCCATTCAACGTAAATGTAAGATACCGTCCATGCGACACCAGAATACCTACTCTTGCAGGCTTGGAACCAACGCACTGCAGTGTTCTTCCGTCGAACATGATTTGGGACTCTAGTTCAAGATAACTTGAGTTGTTGCAGGCAATCCGAAGAGGCATCAAATTCTGGTAACCAACGCGTCGGGTTGTTGAGATTAGCCTTTGGAGCAATAGACATATCTATTTGCCGACAGATGCTCAGTGCGTGTGTTCGCCCCTATGTCGAGTGCGCAATTCAAGCCTGGCAGACGTGTCTGGAGCACCACCTCACCGGATCAGTCTCAACATTGGGCTTCCAGATACAGTACTGAAATGCGCATTCTCCCATACGAGCAAAGGCTGAAATGTTTGGGAGTATTCAGCGGTCGGTATCACCGATTACGAGGCGACCTGATAATGGGCCATTTGATTCTGCACGATCCACGTCATGTCTACCGCTCCTTACTGCCACCCAACAGTAATACAAACCTAAGAAGTCACTCCATGAAGCCAGGGGGACAGTACAGACATCTGGAGTGCCCTGTAAATTTCTTTTCTGCTCGTGTATGTCATCCGTGGAATGGTCTACCTGAATGTGTCATTTGTGCACTTGCACTAGCTGTATTTAAAAGTCGGTTGGATGACGCACTCCTCTAGTTTTATTTACTTAATTAGCACTACCTCTCCACTCCACTCCTTGAATTTACCTTGGATCTATTAGCTGTCACTTGGTGGTGCAGTGAAACCACACGGACTGCAGGTCTACAGCAACACAAGCGAATAGACCTTCTTTTGTTACGCAAGATACTAATTCATTTGAACTTGTAAAGCAGTGCTTCTTAATCCGCATAAATTCATCGTTCATTATGTAATCACAGGTTAAAACAATACTCTGGTTGCTTCTGGCTCTAGGGTCTATCCGAGGCCTAACTAAGCTCAAGGCAGCCGAGATGATTACATCTTAAGTCATCATCTGCCTCGTCCACATGCCCACCAAACTAGCAACCGACAAGTCGTTTAAGCGCGTACTCCAGCAAATGGTTCAGTTAAGTTAACTAAAATATCTGATTTTTACTGTCATTAAGTGTTAACAACTATGCTACTGACTTCGTAAGGACAGCTGATGCAGTATGCCATGCTAAGTCACTGTAGGAGCATGTAACACGAGCTGAATGACAACGCTATGATCTACTGGGTGGCCTATGGCGATGACTTCTAGCTTAGTGGATCAACCCATTTCACATAGCAAAAATGGTGTGCGACAGCTGAGAATGAGCCGTACTAGGCTACATATTGCGTCTTAAACACAATCGACCTTGCTGTTGACCGTAGTTTAGTGGTTTAAGGTGATACTTTGTGACAGTGTTATTTCGGGCTTGAAACCTGTAGGCTTAACGTGAACTGTGCGCTGCTAACAGATGTTAACCTAGTTGCAGCGTCATCTAAGTTTTTCAAGGTCCATTGATCTTCTGAGAGCGTATTCGCGGCGAATTTTCTCAAAGCAGTGTCGTACTTCAAAAACAGGAGTGATCCTTGAGAATATTTGTCGGATGTTGGGTCATTCTACGGTAATGCGCTTGATTAGCCCCATTTACCAGGTGTCGCTAACAAAGGGCTTTGCGGTATACATTCCGCTGTTAGCGTTCTCTCCATGGTTCGGATAGAGCGAAAGTGAAGAGAACCAACCCATAAAATTCTCAGCTACTTAAATTTGGTTGAGTAATGCGAAAATTTGTACCAGAACGCTTATTGCAGCTGCATCATCATCATACACGTTAGCTAGATTTGGGAAACACCTCAGATGCTGTGCCGCAATACATAGAAGAAAAGAGAAAAAATGCAAATAGTGCAAGCCAGCTGAGCTACCGGTAACGGATGGGCATCATTCCGGAAAGCTACCAGCCGGCTACTGCGCATCAGCAAATATTACTATGCAAAATTATATAAGGCTAAATAGTGAGGTCGTGGTTGGAGGGCGAGGCTAAGAGGGATGGGGTGGGACAAAGAACCTCACAGCACGAACGCCGTTGAGGTCGGCTCCTAGCCATATCAGCAAGTGTATCCAGCCAAACGTGTTCATCGCTTTTCGGACCCCAACCAGGGAGCCGAGACGCTCCAACCGAGGCCAGCTCCGAAGTGAGGGCCTTCATTCCTCTCGATCAAGTCATCGCTTGGCCACCGCTCCTCTTCTTCCATCCACATCCCCGGCGCGCAAACAACGCACGTCGCGGGAGTCGGTGGGCTGGCATGCGTAACACGTGGCCTAGCCATCGGAGCCTGGTGCGTGAAATGACGGTGCTGAGCGGTTCATTTCCTTTTCCTGTGCCGTAAACAAGGTGTCGAACACGCTCGTTGCTCACGCGGTGTTCCCACCACATGTGAGCACCGGTGGTCAAACGTAACTAGCCTCTTTATGTCCGCTGATCTAAGG